CTACTGCTATGGCAGCCACAACACTTTGTCAACACAGCCTTGCGATATCCTTGCTAGCATTGGCATGGCATGGCAGTGGCACTGGCACTGGCAATGGCTGTGTGACTTTATGGCGTTAATGTTTGGCAAACAACAAATAAATAAATAAACTTCAACTTCTGATTTTTTTTACCGATTATCGTCTACGAGTATGTGCGATATTCGCAAAGGGGGATGATTTAAACGTTTTGTTCGACTAAATTGACTCTTTGTGTACGATAAATGGGTGCGAGTGAAATTGGAAGCTGAAAGGAAGAGCATGTTTGTTACAGGATATTCGGTTATTGAAATTTAGCATTACCCACATAGTCAACTTGAATTAAGGGATTAAGTACACAGGGAAAATAAACAGAAAAAAATAGAAGAATATTATTTAACAACAAATAATTTTGATAGTGGATTTTAATGAGTTACCTCGAAATATATGAAGCATCTTGTTATTTCGTTGAGTGATTTCTTAAGACATTTTTATTAAAAATCTTTAAAAATGATGACAAATAACTTAAAATTCATACGCTAACGGATCTCTTCTTTTTGGTTGTAGTGGTTGTAGGCCATTAGATAACTTCCATAAACCTAAATGAGCGATTTTTCATCATTTTGCTACCACAAAAGCAAAAACCTTAGTACAAAAGAGTAGAGACTACATACATCCCGCCGAATTTAGATAATTTAATAGATCTCTCGTCTTCACCGATGAACAGTTTGATAAACTATCAAAGAATAATCTTTCTAAGAACCTATATCTTCTGGACGGTAAAGCCAGGGATTCACAGAGATAATGTAGTATGGTTTCTTTTTTCTGTGGGTTTCCAAAACTTCTGCAGTAAGGATTATGAGGAATGCGCAGTTTCTCTGCTTGGGTTGCTATATACCAATGACCAGAAAATATTGCAGTAAGCCTAGCAGTGTTCACGCGGTCTCTTTTGATGAGTTCCGAGGATCTATCTATTCGCTACAAATTTTTTATAACTGTAAAGTAGCTTATATGAAGTTCCCGCATATAATTACACATTAATAACTCCCTCGGCTTCCGCGAAAAGTGTCAGATAGAAAAATGGCTGCCTTATATGGTTGGTAACAAGGAAATTTGTTACTGTTATTTTATAAAATTGCATGAACAATTTTTCACAGTTTACATAGGGCGGGGAATAAAAACTGTGTCCATAAACCAAAAATTTAGCTAAAGGCTTTCTTTATTATTCTGTTTATCTAAAGTCTTTAGACCTACAAAGAATTTTTACAAGCTTTGTGAAATAAGCGTATTATTGTAATTATTCTAAAAAATGTAGATCTTAAAAACTTTAATATCTATCGCGGGATGGCTTTACTACCTACAACATAAATAAGACGAAAGTAATGACTACAGATACTCCACCGCTCGTGTTGAAAACCTTGAATATGTAGACTACTTTAAGAAAAATTTGCATCAAGAAATTCGATATCAAACAATTAGGTAAAAATCTATAACTTTTGTGAACACATCGTAACGTTAAATATTGAATATATAGTAACCAATATATAGAAACCACATTTCACCACTATATATTTTACACAAATAATTCAGTTTGAGTTTTTAATTAAAGACATAAATTATCTCTTAATCGATATGTCACTAAGGATCTTAAGGTTTCTAAATAGCTTTCCAATTGTTTCTTCCATCAATTTTTAGACGCTAAAAGATTCGGTTTATGGTTTCGAATTTTTTTTTTTTGTAAGGTATCCAACGGTCTCCCATAAAAACGTGTTTGTTAAAAAGAATTAGTACATTTTAGAAGTATATTTTTATCTTTAAATTCTGAACCGGAATTACGGGTTTGAAATCACTTAGTCGTCTACTTCAATAAATTTCTTTTATGCTCACTTATTTGCTTATTTATAATAATAAAATGAAAGCATTTGCCCAGACCCATAAACTGATGAAAAAGAACTTAACTTCAACAATCGTTAAATAATTTTAACAGATAAATAGCGTACTCGGCACTCAAAGTGCTTCCATTATGCATGCGGTAAGGATAATTTTATATGCAGGAATTTTAAAAATATATTAGCTGGTATCAACCTTAACCACAATAAACGCAAGCACCACAGCCACACATAACAGGCAGTAAACACTCCTTGGGCTTTGGAGAGCTCCCACCCTCGCAGGGTGCCGTGCCGTTTGTTCGGCTTGTTTAAGCCATTTTAGTTGGTTTACTTGGCTTAATTCAATTTGCAATTTTTCAAAATGTGCGCTTGGGGACTAAATTGTTGTTATTTCTGTTGCTCGTCTTTGTATCCGTGCCACCCCTTACTATCTACTATCCAAACACCCAAACACCCAAACAAGTGCTGCAGAGATTTTCATATTGAACGTATGCTTGGTGTCAGGAATTTCGTTCGCATTTCTCCTGGTTGTTATCAATTTTTTATATTGTAATTCTGCTATGCAGTGAACGGCAAAGGGTGCAACTCAGTGCCAGTGTTTTGGGGGGAGCAACGTAATCTGTATTTACTTTGCATTCGTTTGACTTTTAGATTGTTTGCAATAATGAGTTTTGATTGTTGTTTGCAATAAGGACAGTCGCTCATTCCTGTGCCAACAGTTCTTGGAAATATATAGTTGACTTATGATTTTGTTTGACATGAAATTGGAGAAGGAAAGCAAGGATAATTGTTTTTACATTTGCATTGTACATATTTTTGCTCACAGCCCATGTTCTTTGGTGCTACGAGTATTCTTATCGTGTCTTTATTTCTTTTACTTATTGGCAACACAATACTCTCAGTATTCCTGTTCTTTCAGAACGAAATCGTACTTTTGTTTATACTATACTGACACCCTTTCTGGAATAATTAAAGAATTGTATTTTGCAAATTTGGTAATTTTATGATCATAGGGTTTTACCCCATGATTATAGTATGCACTTACTATGGTGGAGAAGACCGAAATGTTTTCTTATTGATTGTATCTATCAAAATATGAGAACTCTTGACAAAAAATTGAAAAACTTTAACCAGATAGTATGGATGATGACGATGATAATGGTAAATATTTGCAAAAATTCAAAATAGATTTATAATCACCCAAAAACGATTAACAAGTATAAAATTGAATAAAAACAGAGTTTAGTATTGTGTTTCGAGTCAAATCGATATTTATAAAGTCCACGCAATTGAAGATGAAGAGCAATTGAAGGGACTGCGTTGAAGCAATCGATTGCTTTTTTGAATTCAGCGTTATTATTGAATTGTTGTTTAATTGGTTTTTGATTTCTTTATTTTGGTTAAAATATTTAAAATTTGCTACTTATTGAAATTTTTGTTTATTTTAATAAACAAATTTGGAATTATATTTAACCATAAAAGCAGCTCACAAACAAATTGGCAAGTCACCTTGTCAGCGTGAAGAAAATATACTCACACAAACCAATAAACAATGAACGTTCATTAGCGTCTAGAAGACCCGGGAATTACTGAGCTGACGCACTCACATTCACGTTAAGATTGCAGCTTCGTTCTGACAATCGCAACGGTGCTCAGGAACGGCTTTCGGAAGCTGCTAACAATCGCTGAGTCTGTTGTCTAGGATGAACTTGAAACCGCGACAATTGTTTGTTTATTTGTTGCTTTGTTTGTTTTCGTTTGTCAACAGAAAATGTTATGGACTCTGGTTTTTAGTGTGCACTGATTGCAGTTGGAGTTGTGGCTAAGTTTGGATTGCTACCACTGCGCAATGATGCAGTAATACAGCGGTGCAGTAGTTGCAATTGCAATTCCAGTTGCAGTTGCAGAACGCATCGCTTTCAGACACATTAAGTGTCATTTTGCAGCTGCTAATTGACATCGCAAATAATGGTACAGCATACTTACGTACTGTTGACACTGCATCCGCACAAGAATTGTTATTGTTATTATCTTGAACCGAGTCTACTCTTCAGTATAATCGAATTAACTGACAGCATGAATAAGAAATATTGCCGTCGTATGAACAATCGTAATCGAATTTCAGCGGTATTAACAAATCTATGCATTTTACACTATGCAAATTGCAATTATTATTTGCTCAATATATTTGAGAAAGTCATTTCCACCTAAAACCCATGGATCGCCCACACCTCTCATATACTCGTAAACCGCGTTTTAATTAATTGCCAGTGCGGCAGCGGCCAGTGTTTTTAATTTGTACACACACAAGACCTCGGTATGTGAAAATCACTGAATTTGTTTAACGCAAACTTTTATTTACGAATTTTTAGGTTTAACTTAAAAAACTGAGTCAACAAATACAAAATAACTTCTTTTTGAATTATCGAAATACACAAACAATAGCTTAAGTTTACGGCTGACTTCCCGCTTAATTGCTTTTGACGGCTGCGGTTTGCATGTTGACCGAGTCAATATCGGTGGTTAATAAGTCAATAATTGAAAAAACGCAGAGGCACAAAATTAACAAAATTTATATCTACTTTTGTGTATAGAAAAGCTCTGCTGAGACCTCTGCGAGTATGTTGGACTAAGCAACTGTTGGACTAAGTCACTTACCACCTTCACTCCAAATGGGTAACACTTTCTTAAGACAGCGGCAACGGCAGCATCACTATATAAATAAATACGATTTTTTAAAGTGTATAGCAATCACTA